TATACCATAAAAGCCAGAATATTGGTGCCATAATGTCTCCAAGAATAATGTAAACAACTATTGACCCAAACCTTTTGCAAGGAAAGCGTTCATTGAAAAATTGAAAAACTACTACACTCATGACCAAAGAGAAACACCAGACCCTACCCACCCCAGCAACTCCATAAAAAGCTGGCCCCTTCCTTTGTTCCGGAAGCAGCCTGGTCCCTTATCCATCAGTGCTGTCTCCGTTTAGCTGAAGCCACAATCAAAGTCTTGCCTGTGAATCTCATAATACTCAGTTCAAACTTGTTTCTATTGTTTTTGTACCTAAAGATCTCATCTCTGTTAACACTATATTGAATATAAAATCTCATATCTTAAGCATAGCATATGAAGTTCTTTATAGCCTATCTTCAAATCATTATTGGTTTCCTATTTATACACACCAATTCTCAAACCACACTTTTTTCCATCTTCCAAGACTGTTCCCTGTGCCTGGAATGCTCTTCCCCAACCTTCTTCATTTAGCAAAACTTCTACCTGGTCTTTGGAGCTGAAATCAAAGGGTCCATCCTCTGTGAAGCTTTCCCAATGTCTCCTGCCTCTGGGATTCCCAACATCTTTTTATTTTCCCCTCTGTTCTCCTATAGAATTTATATCCATGTCCCTATGTTAGCATTATTATTGATGTGACTCTCCTTGACAGAAGGACTTGTGTCCTATTTTTTCCTTATAAGTTCTTTTAATGGGAGCTTTAAAAATGTTCAGTAAATAAAAGAACAAAGAAATGAAGCAAAGGTGTGGTTTGGGGAGAAGTTACCCTAATCTCCTTGTAGGATATGAATTGAGGAAACAGACTTTTCTAAACTTGGACTGTAAGAAAGATAGCAGCAGTCACTGATGCAGATAGGGAAGCAAAAGGATTTTACAGTTAGTCATATACTAACTTGGAGCACTAGACCAGAGTGGGTAGGGACATAGGTCACCTTTCTGGCTACTGAAACCAATGATAGTTATAAAACCACCTCTCCTCAGCTCCATTACACTTCCATACCTGTTTTTTCCTGTCCATGTAATTGGAAGGCTACCTGCCCCTTTTTATTTTGCTTTCTAGGGAAGTGATTTCTAGGTTAAAGAAGGAGAAGGAGAAGGCAGTACAAAATACTTGGTTGGCAATGAGGAAAATTGTGGCATTCTGGAGTTGTGATATTTATCAAAATCATAAGACTGATAGAGTCTTTATTAGCTAGTGAGAGATTAAAAAATTTTTTTTCAGAATATCTTTAAATAAATGTCCTTTCCAATGATTGTAAGGGTTTGTAACAGGGGTTCACTTGATGCTTTGACTATATCTCTTGTGGCTTTGAAACTTAACATTTTTTTTCTTTTTCCAACCTTCTTCTCCCTGACCTTCTCCTCCCTGATCTTCTTTTCCCTAACCTTTTCTCTGATTTTCTCCAATCTTCTTTTCCCTGATTTCTCCTTCCTGATGTCTCCTCCCTAATCTCACTTTCTCAGAATCACCTCTGTAAAAATCCCCTGTTCCTGCTGATGAGCAAAATCACAAACCCAGGAGTCTTCTGGGTTTCTCCTTTGCAATAAACAGTCTTTTTACTTTTTCTCAAAACCATGTCTTCGTTATTGGATTGGTGTGGGGGACAAGGACCGAGCTTTCTGCAACAAGTTGACATATTTGGGGGAATTTTAAAAATACCTTCTATTTTGAAATAATTATTGGTTCACAGGAAGTTGCAAAAATAGTGCAGGGGTCCTGTGTACCCTCACTCAGTTTCTCCTAATTATAACATTTTATATGATGAGTAATGCATTATCAAAACCAAAAACTTGACAGTGGTATAACCTACTGATCATTTAGATTTTATCAGCATAACATGAATGAGTGTGTATGGGAGTGTAGTTCCAAGTAATCTTACTGCATGCGTAAACTCCTGTAGTCACCACCACAATCAAGGCACAGAATTATTCTATCACTAAAAGTCACTGTAGGTCTGCAGAAAGAGCTCAGTGGTATAGCACTTGCCTAATATCCTCATCGCTGGGAGAAAAATTTTCTTGAGCTATCGCTTTATAGTCAGACCCATTCTCCTCTCATCTCCCCTAACCTTTGGGAATGTTTTGTTTTCTTATACGTGATGTTTCTCACTGATCAAAAAAAAAAAAAAGAAAGAAAGAACAGGTTCTCCCCTTGATTCATGTGCTATTTCGAATGTTGGAAGAAAGAAGCACACAATTAGAAAGTCGGGGCAACTTCTGTGCCCTAACCATGGATGGTAAAACAGAGATGTCCCAACTGGAACGATCATTATTCCTATAATTGGCTAGTTTCAAAAAAAAAAAAAAAGTACACTGGCTCTGTCTAGATAAGCATGTGACATGATAATTAAAACTAATAGGAACTCAAAAAATATTTTTTAAGCAAGTACACTGATCCAACAGGGAGCAATGTGCCCCATAACGGGTTCCTAAGAGAGATGGGAAACAATTCTCCATTTGATCCAGAGGGCAGTTGTTTTTAAATTACTAAGGTTAGAGGAAACGGAAAAAAAAAAATAGAAAAGCTGGTGGGTCATCTATTTGATTTTCCTACTTATGCTTCCTTAATTTATTTCTCCAAGCAGGAAACAAAAACAAAAACAGACTGAAGTGCTGACTGAAGTCTTTCACTTGAAGTATCATAACTCTGATGAGCCCTCCCTTCCTAATTTCCCACCTGGTGCCCTCTGCTCACACTGTGCACTCTGTCTCCTGATGGGAGGGAACTGTACTACTCTTGTGGCCCCGTAGTGATAACAGTAGTTACTAAGGGGTGACAAAGCTCACCTTGACAGTAGGCACAGTGCTAGGATTTCAGTTGCTACATCCCATTCAATCCATTCAGCAGCCCTGTGCAAGGTGTGATGTCACTATCTTCATTTTATGCTTGAGAACACTTACACTTATAGAACTTAAATGTTTTGCTTAAAACGGGGGGGGGGGGGGATGCCTGTAATGCCAGCTGCCCCAGAGGCTGAGGTAAGAGGATCAAGAGTTCAAAGCAAACCTCAGTGAAAGTGAGGTACTAAGCAACTCAGGGAGACCCTGTCTCTAAATAAAATACAAAATAGGGCTGGGAATGTGGCTCAGTGGTTGAGTGCCCCTGAATTAAATGCCTGGTACCAAAAAAAAAAAAAAGTTTTGCTTAAGGCCTGTAGAAGGTGTGGGGTTTGAACTCTCATTAGTAGACCAGTACCAGGTAGTCTGAGGCATGACATAGTCATCTACATATAGTTTTTTTTCTTTTTTTTTTAATATTTATTTTTTAGTTATGGGTAGACACAATATCTTTATTTTATTTTTATGTGGTGCTGAGGATTGAACCCAATGTCTCACGCATGGCAGGCGAGCGCTCTACCTCTGACCCACAACCCCAGCCCCTATATAGTACTTTTAAAATCTCCCTAGGTAATTGTATTGTGTTGACTCCTTGAAAAGCATTACTAAAAGATACTTTCTGCAAAGGAATCTCCTGTTACTTAAATGGGGTGCAGACACAAAGAGAACTGATTGATTTATGAGAGATGGTATTACTTCATAAAAAAATATATTTCTGATAGACAATGCAAAGAGACTGGTGGCTTTTGTCTGATGCTTTGGATGAAAATGTATTATTTTTTTTTAAAAAGATATTTAATTTTTAGTTGTAGTTATTTTTATTTATAAAAATAAATAAAATAAATATCTTTATTTTATTTATTTTTATGTGGTGCCAAGGATTGAACCCAGGGCCTCGCACATACTAGGCTTGTGCTATACCACTGAGCCACAACCCCAGCCTTGAAAATGTATTCTTAGATTATCTTTCTATATTATTTTTTGGTGTTGCAAGCACTTTCACCAGAAAGGGAATTAAATTACTTTTTTTTAAAGTATTTTTTTGTAGTTGTAATGCCTTTATTTTATTTGTTATGTGGTACTGAGGCTTGAACCTGGTGCCTCGCATGTGCTAGGCAAGCACTCTGCTACTGAGCCACCACCCCAGCCCATTAAATTACTTTTGTAGCTATGTTCTTGTTGTTTTTCAGTGCCCAAACCCAGGGACTTGCACATGCTAGGCAAGTGTTCTAGTACTGAGCTCCATCTACAGTCCTTTACTACTTTGTAGCTAGGAACACAAGTGTAGTTACTTCTAACACTGAGGTGGATTATATTTTGGCATGGTTCTGTATTTAAGTTTTTTGTATCTCCTTTGTTTTGTGGGGTGGGGGAGTGCTGGGAATTGAACCCAGGACCTTGTGCATGCAAGGCAAGCATTCTACCAACTGAGCTATATCCTGAGCCCCTTGTATTTACTTTTCCTTTAAAAAGAGAACTTTATTTAATTTTTTTTTTTTTAGTTGTAGATGGACACTATACCTTTACTTTATTTGTTTATGTGGTACTGAGGATTGAACCCAGTGCCTCACACATGCTAGGCAAGTGCTCTACCACTGAGCTACAATCCCAGTCCCCAAAAGAGAAGAACTTTAGAGATCAGAACTCTGGAGGGAACAAAATAAAATAAAGATATGTAATACAGTACAAAAAAAGTTTCCTTTAATATGAAACAGATATATTTTACAAATACTGATATGTAATTGGTCCTAAAGAAATGTGCTTAAAAATAAATAAGACTGCCCTATAAGGAATGAATGCATGAATTAACATAAAAATGGTTTTGTACACACAGGCCAACAGAATCCTAAATGCAGTTGGCATTTCATTCACAAGGAGTTGGCCAGGGAAAGATTTCAAGACACACTTGATTTCAACATACCAAGCCAAACAGCTAATGAACCGCCCACAAAGAATGAAACTATTTTGAACTCGTCATTTGGCAAATACAAATTATAATATCTTAATATGCATAAAATTGTGTAAGGTTGAAAGTACCTGACCTTTTATTGAAAGGAGGAGGAGTCAAGGGCGGGGAGAGACAGGGCTACAGTCTGTCCCTTGGGAACTTCCTGTTGTCACCACACCTCTGGATTAGATATCTGAGCTCACTGTGAGCAAAACCCCGAAGTGAAAATTCTAAGGCTCTGCAAAGTAAATTATCCTTCTGTGAATGTGACACACGCTCTCTGCAGTTCCATATGCTGAAGTTATTCTTACTTATCAGTTTGACGTGCTTGGTGAGATCAGGTAGGTCATTTAGTGAATGGTTTTCTTAAGTATTTAAAAAATAGTAGTAGTCATCTTGCATTTATCATGCCATGTCCTTCAGTGAACTTTTTAAGTTCTATGGGATCATTTTTAAGGAAGACGGGGGTTAAATGCACTTTCTAATCTTGAAGATATTTTTTTTCTCGGTAATTAAAGAATCTTTTAAAAATTAACTTTTGTACAAATGTTAAATATGCTAAAAATATAGGAAAATATATTTTCTCTCATAGCTAAAATTTTTGTGCTTTTTTCCCTCTATGAAATGAGATCTCTTATTATCTGGAAAGTTATTTATGTATTTATTTATTTTTGAGAAGCTGGGGATCAAACCCAATGCCTTGAAGCATTCTTGGCAAGCACTTTACCACTGAACTACGCTCCCAACCAGTACTTCCTGGAAATTTAAAAATTTGTTTTATTATATCCAACATGTACAGGATGGGTTTTTATGCTTTCACGTATTAAGGGAATATTTAAATTGCTCTTATAAAAATATAATTTTATATACATAAAGTTTATACAATGGTAACTGTCACATTGATGATTTTAAAAGTATTAATCATAATGAAGAAATAAAAATTAAAACACGAATATATGTGGTAAAGGAACAAAAATAAAGTGAAATGCTGAAATGAAAAAAAAAAAAACCACCACCAACAACAACAAAAAACTGTACCTGTCAGCCTTTTTAGGAATTTGATTCTTTTTCATATAGCTTGTGGTAATGAAGATTGGTGTAATTTTTGAATAGCAAGGGGAAAATATGTTATATATTAAGATTCATAAAGATGGTCATAACTTTTGAACTGGGAATTTAAAGTAATAAATTTCTGGGAATCTTGAAGTAATAACTTTTACAAGAAAAAAAGGGATATAGCTCAGTGGCAAAGTTCTTATCTAGCATGTGGGAGACCCTGGGTTGGACCCCAGGAGGACAAAAATTAAAAAAGCTTCATATGCAGAGATAATTCTAATTATATTGCTTATAGTAACTTGGAACTAGATACAACAGAAATGTTCCTACTTACAGGAATGGATAAAGTATAAATATCAGCTTGATTTTTTAAAAGTAACTTTTAAAATAATTCTGGTGCTCTGTAGAAATGTACAAACATGTTTTAAAAATAGTACAAAGCAGACAAAAACAACTCAAGTTTGTAAACTATCACTATGTTAAAAACTTGTAGGTATGCCTGTAAATACAAGTTAAACGGGAAATGAATAATTTAAAATACATTATTAGGATTTTGGTGTATAAATACATTTTTCTTAATAATGCTTTTGAGATTTTAATAAATTAAAATTATACTAATGATGAAATTTTTAACTGAGAAGTTAGCATTTTGAGGTGTATATTATCATTTTTAAATTTAAAAATTGAACATAAATTTGGGGATATCTTATGGGAAAGAAGGCTAATCCTAACACAAAAACCTGTGGTGTTGGTGTTGTGGGTAGTTTCTTATATATATCTAGTGCAAATTTGGAACAATGACAACTTAATTTTTTTAACCTGTCTTTTTTTTGGAAGGTAATACTGGGGATTGAATTCAGGGGTGCTCTATCACTGAGCTATATCCCCAGTCCTTTTTATTTTTTGAGACAGGTATCCCTAAATTGCTGAGGCTGGCCTTGAACTTATGACCCTCCTGCCTCACCCTCCCAAATCACTGGGATTACAGGGCTGCACCACTTCCCCTGGTTTATGACCCATCTTTTTACTTAACATCTCCTCCTAAATGAAGTTTGTTTCAGATGATTCTATTATTCTTTCTTTTCTTTTCCAAAGGTATTGACAGGGGTTTATTTTAAGAAAGCAGATATATATTCAAGGGGGAATATGCATTCAAGGGAGAATCCAGGCTATCCCCACAGGCAGAAAAATCTTCAAAGACTCTAGAAAAATGTCACTGCAGCATGATAGAATCTAAGCAAAGATAAAAAACAATTAACTATAGCTAGAAGGAAAAAAAAAATATAGCTGCAAGCTAAAACTAGATTTCTCAGTGAATACAAAACCAGAACTTGGATCTTTGGCTGGGGAGAGTGTTATTCATGCAACCAATACCAGAAGTTATTTTGTATATTAGTGTATATACAAATACTTTGACTTTTGATTTCTCCCTTCTTTTGTTTTGCAGTTGAAAAATGAGCAAATATTAAACTGGGAGTCAGAATTCCCAAGGTCACAAGTCATTCACCTTCAGAGATCTTTGTTTTGTTGTTCTTATCTCTTTTGAAGTTATGTTAGGAATGTTTGCCCTAATTTTACCAGTGAACAAAACAAAGTGTACTAGAACCACCTGGGGAGATACTCCATCCTCAAAGGTCCAGACTCAGCAGGTCTGGGAGAGATCCCTAGAATCTGCATTCTTAATACAAGCTGAAGGTTTTCAGCTGCAGATAGTCCAAGGAACATATGTTGATAAATATTGGTCTAAATTAAGGCTGTTTGTTGTAAGTATATTTAAATTTTACTTGGCTACTATATTTTGGCCTATGGCAACTGGGTAAAACTTGGTAGATATTTTTCCAGAGAAAACAGCTTAAGGTAGTTCTCCCTGATCCTTGGGGGATAATGTTTGAAAACATTTAGTGGATGCGTGAAACCGCGGATAGTATTAAACTTTTTTCTGCACATACAACCCTATGATAAAGTTTAATTTATAAATTACACACAGTGAGGCATTATAAAGTAGTTCAATTATATACTGTAACCAAAGTTTGTGAATGTCCTCTCAAAATATCTTACCGTATTGTACTATTATTTTGAGACCATGGTATATGGGGTAACAGAACTGGAAGAGGGGGGGACTACTTTTTACTTTTTTTTTTTTTTTTTTTTTTGAGATGGAGTCTCACTATGTTTCCTGCGCTGGCCTCTCTCGATCCTGTTTGCTTCAGCCTCTTGAGGAACAGGGATTACAGGGAAGCACTAAGGGGAATCTACTTGTAGTGCCCCAATTAGGGAACTACTTTCTCAGATACTGGAAATGTCAAATGACTTGTAAGGTTTTGGCACGTGACTCATCTTTCTGTTACGTGGAGGCAAAGTGAGGTTGGGGATGTAAATGGGAGGATTTTTGCACATGATTAATAAGAGTGAGCCAGGTGCGGTGACACACGTTTGTAATCCCAGCTACTTGGGAGGCTGAGGCAGGAGGACAGCAAGTTGGAGAGCAGCCTCAGCAATTTTGTTGGACCCTGTCTCAAAATACATTTTTTATTTTTCACTCTGAAAAGCGCTGGGGATGTAGATCAATGGTAGAGTGTCCCTACTCAGTACGTGGGGGGTGGGGTGGGGGGGATGAGAGAGATAAGAATGAGAAAATCTGGCATTGGTCTTGTTTTCAGGGTTGTATCCCCCTACCCCCAAATTCAACGGATTATTAAAAAAAAGAGGTATCCTTGGAATCAAGAAGATATTCTGCCTCTGTGCTTCTTACCCATGTCTGTCCTGAGTAAAAGAGAAATAAGAAGTATTCCACTAGATTTGACCATGCAATCCCTTCACAATCTAGCCTGGGACACCTTTTTTTTTGTTACTGGGGATTGAATCCCAAGAGTGCTCTACCACTGAGCTACATTCCCAGCCCTTTTTATTTTGAAGAAGGGCCTCACCAAATTATAGAAGCTGGCCTTGAATTTGTGATCCTCTTGCCTCAGGCTCCTAAATTGCTAGGATTACAGGCCTGCGCCCCTGCAGCCAGCCTGAAAGCTTCATTTTTAATAATAAGCTGACTCAGCCATGCTCAGAGGCTCACAGTGATCCTACCTTTATCTACTGACTCCCAGAGAATCACAGAGATTTTCTTTCACCCTGACACATGGGGGCATCTCAAGATGTTATTTTTTTCCCCTCAATTCCATCTTCTGTTTTTACAGAACCATTATGGATATAAGTAGACTCTCGTTTCTAAAGAGATTCTCCTTCAAAAATGGGGAATGTAATCAGTTCCTCCAAAAATAGGTAGGAGTTAAAAAGCCAGGGCTGAGTGGGATGAGGCTGAGGCAGCTGTATTTAGCTCCAGGGTAGTGCACTCTGTGAAGACACAGCAAAAGGACACCCAGGAAGTTTCTTTGGAAAGGGAGAGGGGTTGTCTGGGACTAGTCTTACCTCAGGGAATCAGTTTTCTATCCGATTGGGATCCACCTAATCAAGATTAGGGACTTTATTGGACCTACAGTGGGAGAGAGCCAGGGTCTGTCAACCTCAGACTGCAGGGGAAAAAGAATGTGTTGGAAAACTGAAAGCCTAGGTCTGTTTTGACAGAAAAAGTAAAACTTTTGCTCTTAGTTACTTTCAATAGATCTCCCCTATTCCTGCCTCCATTTTGGTTTTTCCATGAAATTATAAGAACTATATTTTTGTTTTTTTGAAATGGGATCTCTATGTTTCCCAGGCTGGCTTTGAACTCCTGGGCTAAAGTGATCTTGCCACAGCCTCTCAAGTATCTGGGACTACAGTGTGTGCCACCATGTTGGATTTAGGAACTACATACGTATATTTGCACTGGGGGGCGTGTACTGGGTATTGAACCCAGAGGCATTTAACCACTAAGCCACATTCCCAGCCCTTTTTTAATTTTTTAATTTTTTTTTATTTTGAGATAGAGTCTCCGGTAAGTTGCTCAGCGCTTGATAAGTTGCTAAGGCTGATTTTGAATTTGTGATCTTCCTGCCTCAGCCTCCTGCCTCAGGCTCCTAAAGTCACTGGGTTTATAAGCATAAGCCAGCATACTTGGCAGGAACCATTTTTAAATAACTTGTTGTTGCTATCATCATCATCATCATCATCATCACCACAAGGGATTGAACCCAGGGCCTCCTGCACACTAGGCAAGTGTTGTATCCCTGAATTACATCTCCAGTCCTTAACAGCTTTATAGAAGTCTAATTCCTATACTGTATGATTCATCTAAAGTGTACAGTTCTGGCTGGGGACTTAGCTCAGTAGAAGAGCACTTGCCTAGAATGCA